TTGTCACACTAGATATTCTGAATGAACAGCAAAATATAACATTTCCAGATTTTCTTAGTGGAGGGTGTTTTGGGGTTTTTGGGAGGGTTCCTTTACATTTGTTTAGAGCCATTGTGCATGTTTGCACCATTTTAACAGGCAGGTACAGTGGAGTGGTGTATTTTGCATTTGGAAATATGTTATTTAAGTGCTCCAGAATTCTCTGTAAAACAGATACTGAAGACATGAAGCATCTTGCAGTGTTTGCTGTAGAAGTTTGATTTCATTCACTGGTGTATAAATTTTAAGGACCAGACTAATAGGGCATGTTAAAACAATAATGAAAACCTAATAAAGCTATGAACATACTGACAGAAGTTTAAAGATTCAGAATTTTCACTCTTTGAAGTGAATTCCTTTAAAATTTTAAATGGCATATTTTTCCATTATACATTAGATTATTCTTGTGGTACCAGCATTAGTAGTCCATTATTTGTTTAAAATAAGCATTTCAAGATTTGAACTCTATAAAGTTGGAAGACAGCAAAAAAAGAGTGAAAACCTTGCACATAGCCAGTTTATTGCTTTCAAATTATTGACTCAGCTGTTTTCATTTGTGAAAGATTTAGGAATTGTTCTAAGCAGTGTAAATCAAAACCTTGGCTAATCATAAATGAATGGAGCCTGGTGTCCAAGCACACAATGCAGGCTTCAGATGGAGTTGTTTGTTGTTGTTTAGATTGTTCTCTTTAATATGTAAAGAAGCACAAAAGGATAGTAAGAAAAAGGGCTCAAGAACTTGGAAAGTATCCATCTTTCTTGTTTGTCAAGACTGCTTCAGACTTTTTTCCTCCCATAGCTATTAAACCTTAATTAAGTTTGCTTTCTGTAACACTGTCTCTTCTTTTAGCATCGCCCCTTTCATTCTCTCTTAATGTGGCAGACATTTCTGAGTCTGTTCATACAAATCCTTAACTTGAATTCTTTTCCATTGTTCTGGATTGCTTACTGTATTTTAATTTCCAGGTCAGCATGAAGAAAGGCAAAAAGTAGATGGTTATGTATTAGCAGTTCTTTTTTGGTTTTGTTTTTGTCTGTACTTTCATCTTCTGTTTGTAAACAGTTTTCTTGTTTTAATCTTTGACTTGCAACTGCATCCTTCCCCCTTCCTCCCTCCCTCCCAAGAACTGTAACAAAACCCTCTATTTTCCACTTAATATAGTGTTGCCTTGTATGTTGTATTTCATATTTATTAAATGAATCTTTATTTAGAAACAAACTGCTGCTCAGTTGAGGTACAATTAACTTCCTCATCGTTCCACAAATTGTTAAAGGAAGGGATTAGTGCCTGTTGCAGCAGTGTCTTTGTATTTCCAGCTGCACCATTGCTTGTGCTACAAACTTGATTATATTCTGAATCAGTGTATGACTCTGGTTGCTTGGTTGGTTGTACAACTCGGGCTATTTCTATTGCTCAGAAGTACCATAAATAAAAGTTTAGTTGAAACGTCCTACAGTGATTGCTAGTTACAGATGTGCCTTGATTTACTTGGGATTTTTTACAGTGGTTTTATTGAGGTATCCATTTTCTAGTTCTGGTAATGCTAGGTCTATGCTCTGGCATTGGGTGAGATCCAGCTAACCCTGAAATCGATAGGATTTTTGGCTTTTGCTTTTTGGTAGGATCAGAATTTCACATTACTATGTTCACAATACTCAAATTACATGCTTAGCAAAGAATCTGGTAGTTTTAATTTTCTGTAACTGTATATAACAAAATCTGTAGAAGATTTACAGTTATTAACTGAAACTTGTTCACCCTTACAACTGGAATGAGTTGGTTTCTGCTCTATTGCAAAGTCCTTTTTAATTCTTTCCAAGTTTCCAAAGTCTACCAAATGCCACAAAAGTGAGTTTTATAGTTTAGTTGTCAAACTTTTCTCAGACTGAGATTTGTCTATTCACCATTGTATGTGGATGATAGATGTATGTAGAATTTGCAAATAGCCCAAAATTAGTCTTGCAAGTAAGAATAACTTTAAAACTTACCAAGAAAAAAAAATCTTCCAGCTGTTTTGCTTCTGTGGTAGATGGAAAATCCAGAGGCCAAGTTGCTTTTTCTTCCTGTATTACCCGATGCTGTGGACTGTTAATCTGCAGTTGGAGCTGAAAACTGCTTTTGTCTTTCTCTGTTAGATCCAGGCTGTATTGAGGAATTGGGTTTCTCCATACGATAACCAAACTAACTAATCAGTTAAAAAAAAAAAAAAAAAAGAAAAAAAGAAAAAAAGTAATGTTCCAGTATGTTTTATTCCAGAGGAGAGAAAGAAATGCTTTTTGAAACGGCAGTGTTTTACTCTCACATGCAGAAGTGCACTAACCAGCTACAGCTGACCCAGATTCCATATACATCACTTTTGGACAGTTTTTTTTTTTTTTTTAAACAAACACACACTCAAACTTAGACGTTCAGCCCACCTATGATGTCACCGCGAACACACTGAGAGCAGAAGAAACTCCTCCTTCGGATTTCCTATCCATACCCTCCAGAAAAGGAGGGGGTAGGGAGGCTGAGAAGTTAGGAACAAGGAAAGATTGTTTGCCAGTAGAAGGGAGGGTACCATATGGCAACAGACTGTGCA